AAAAAAAAAAAAAAAATAGAGTAGAATTGCTGACATCAGCAGCTCCTTTGGTGATGTTGGCACTGTTGATGCTTTCAGTGTATGTTACATTATGCTTCTCCTGCAGGAGTCTGAAACCTCTGCTGTCAGCAGAGATACTCTCTCCCCTCTCTCGTTTCTGCAAAGATCTCGTCTCAGGCCAAGTGTGGCATGTCCCACTTGTCTTACACTGAAATAGTGATAAATCAATCAGCTTGTTTGTTCAGCAATCAATTTCTCCTTCTCCAAAAGCCATTCACCATCATACTCTCAGATTTAGGTTGATGGCCCCAACGTAGATTTACAGAAATAATAAGCGATGTCACGCATTCCACTATTAACTTTCCTCCATGTAGGGAATCATTTTACTTCTTTCTTCACTTCCTCATCACCCAAACTGGTCGAGACAGATGGCCACGCCCCTCAGCTGGGTTTTGTCAGGCCTCTTCTCACTACTGTCACCAAGTTCTTGCTCATAGGAATTTGTTGCACGACCTTTTACATTAGTTAAATGATTTAATTTCCCTTCCAAAGTCATGGCCTCCTCTCCTCAGTTTACCTCAGAGCTTTCACAACCAGACTGGGGAATTTAGTTTTCTCTTGTGAACTTTGTAATTAAGGAGGAGGCACCGGCTGGTCATCACTAAAGCCACCTGTGGGAATGAGCCAGCAAGGTGTTTCCCTTTTTACTTCGCTGGCTGCACTGCCACCTACAGCCCAGGAGCCCGGAGTTGGAGGGTATAGTAGTTTTTTGTGTATATGAGTGGGGCCGTGATGTTCTAAACTTGACTTGCTCAGTAACCAGATTAAAGCAATAGTTATTTTTATGCTATGTGGCTTTACTGATCCGTATTGCCCTCTCCCAGGAACTTCTTGTGGGGTGTGGTAAATCTCGATAAATGTGCAGTGTGAGATCTCACCCTCTCATCCCTTGACTCTTAAAGGCGATGCACTCTTTTTAGTGCTCATTTTCATTAATTTAGCAATCCTGCACAAACAAAGCCTTTGGAAATTTTCTCAAGAAGTCATTGTCCGAACCTGGATTTCTCACTTCACTGATATTTTTAAATTTTTTTTAATGGATTTACTGAAGTGCACATCCAAGAGATGCCCGGCTCTAATGAAATCACAATCATCATCAACTTCTTCTTTTTTTTTACCTTTAAAGTGTACGTTTTGCATTGATACTAGGGTGTCTTTTATCCAGTGGTTCCTAAGATTGTCTTGTGTTGCACATAGCAGATGTCACATTTATTTCATACTGACCTTTAAATAGGAATCACAGTACAGTAGTTTATTTTTTTAATGAAGGGAATAGGTTTAAAATATCGTTGTTGGGGTTTTGTGGCGAGAGGAAAAAAAAAACTGACTTGCGTTTCTAAATCTGTTTACAAATTAGCCGACATAAATGCTGCAGTTTCTTCCTTTATCTTTCTTACAGGAGAAGAAAAAAGAATCAAAAAAGGGTGTAATTAAAAATAAGTGCAATTAGACCATACATAAAATCGTAATCAGACGACATTCCTCATTCAGACATTCCCATCAAAAAGGACTTCTTTTGCCATAGATATCTGGACTTACCTTTGGCAAGTTACTTAGGAATATTTCATGTATCTTTTAAATTCGACATGTTCAGACAGCAGCATCAGTTGTGTGGTTGTTATTGTCATGTGTGGCTGAAGTGTCTGCTGTTATGGACTAGTTTGTTTGTGAGGTCCAGACACTGTTGTGTTTCCCTTATATCCTCGTGATTCACTGAACTTCTATCAGCAGACAGAAGGGGTCATGAGATTGAGCCTGAGCAGTTTTAAAGGATGGGTTCACATTTTTCTTTCTCTCATGCACACATATTACTTATTCCTCCTATCCATTCTTGCTTGTATAAAGATTCCCTCTCAAAGCTACAGCGGTCTTTCAATGCAATGTTGTGTAATAGTAATATTGGGCTTCAGGAGTCATATGGCAAAGTCGCACATTAAAATAACTTTTACAAGTTTAAAATGTAACAGTCGTGCCATATCTATAAAAATAATAATTTAGTTTATTGCGTGTGCAGTTTCTTTCCGAAAAGTATTAACAATTGTAGGGATGTGGAAAACAAAACTTGTAACTGTAACTGTTAGACAGTTATTTGATATTATCAAGTGTGTATTAATAATATGTCAGTATTTCTTTTCTTTCTTTAAAAAAAAAAATCATGGTTATCCTAACACCCGCATATTATGCTTGTTGGAGATACACATTGTGATTTGTGAAAGTCAGACTCCTGAAGACGTCAAGTTGTGGAGAATGATGAAAGAGTGAGACTGTGGGTACACGCAGTAGAGGTGAGCGTCTTCTAAAGAGTGCTGGGGCTCAGCCTTTAGAGACAGGGTGAGGAGTTTGGTTTTTTAGAAAGGGCACAGAGTAGAGCTGCTACTCATCGATGCTGAAAGGACGAAGTTTAGGTTGTTCGGACATGTGGTCTAGGTGTCTCCTGCATTCTTGGTAAGGTCCAGGTGTGTCCTACTCGGAAAACCCTTACTGTCCTTCCAGAAGAGCTGGCCATGGAGAGCCAAGTCTGGATGTCTCTATTTCGCCTGCTGCCCTCACATCCCACTTAAGTGTCAGTGTAGGCCTGAAATGAACCTTTTTACAGCCGGTGTGGACAGGAGGAAAGATTTCAACTAATAACTGTCAAACTTGATACGGACAGGTTAGTCAAACTAGCAAACATGTGAACCCAGACTTCTTTTTGTTTTTATATCTGATCATCTGATTGGAGTTTTTCATCCTGTAAGCAATATACACAATACCTGAAAACATTTCACGTAGTCTTCTCTATGCAGTAACCTCAGTATTGTACCCTTCATTGTCTTAACTCTGAAGCAGCGGGGCAGGTCGGCGGATGCAGTCGTTCCACGCTGATTTTTGCTTTAAATTACTCTTCTAATAGGAATCTAAGCAGTGTTTTGCTTTACCACTTTGTATTTTATGCTCAGTGATTCTCATCGATGTTTATTGTCCTGCGACGCCACACACTTTGCCAAATAGCAATGCATTCGTCCTGCATTACCATGGCGCGATTGCTGCTTCAGCATTATGTGTAAGGGCAGGATTCAATTGACGACATTTAAATGGTGCGAGCAGTGCCACCTCTGACTTTTGTCTTTTCCCCCTCTGCTTTTGGGAAGTATCCACTCAAATAAAGATGTCTAATGATCCACATCACTGATCGTCTGTTGCTGTAAGTAATTGCACTAAATGTCCTCCTTTACAGTGTTTGAAATCTGTTGGTAGTTTGAAGAGTTTCAAAATGTATAGCACACACAAAAATCAAGGAGAAATCACAGGTTGTGCGTTTCTGTAGATAACTGTATTTTTTGTATAGATAGCTTCGATGATGCTTGTCGTTAATGCCTTAAATTCTGCTTTGTACAATATGTGAAATTGAAACGATGCTCCAGGTAGGCTCAGCGTCCCAGTTTCAGGTTGAATAAGAGTGAATCAGAAATGACAAACATTCATATTTAGATGTCTCAAAGGTTGACTGTGGGCTTTCTTTGGGACATGAACTCTGCAACGTTTTGGTTTGGATTAATTTTTCTTTTTAAACACATTTCCTATTCCGTTTTTAATAGATTCTTTAGGCTCATATTTAACATTCAGATCCTTTATCTTTTTTTTTCTCCAATATGTGGGAATGGAAAGGAGGCTTTTCTCTGCACTTTTTTTGTACACAAGACAGCAAAAGGAGGGCAATCTATTAATTCCTCACATGCATAGACAGATGCACAGTTGTTTTTATTGTTGTTGCACAGAATTTGTAGGGGTTTTTTTTCTTTCCTCCTTAGGAATTAATGGGTGGTGTTTGGTGTTTTGTGCTCTGACAGTCTGAACAGCAGAGGCAGGTTTGGATAAGTGAGAAAGGCTGCATAAAGCCAAAACTTTTCTATCGGTGGTAATGTGACTATTTTTTTTTTTCTCGTCAATGTTTTGTGGCGTTGCTCGATGGGATTTCTATGTGAACTACTTCCTGTTGATCCAGTATTGCAAAGGTGAATTTAGGACTGTTTTGGTGCCGCTGATGTCGAATTAAATCAGGAGAAATGAGAACGGTTAAAAGTTTTAAAAAGTCTGTGTATTTTCAGATATGACTTTGTACTATTTTTTTTTTTCCTTCTGCACACGGTGACACTGCTTTTTATGTGACGCATAACTAAAAACAAAACAAAAAACAACATCTTTTTAAATGCCTAAATCTGCAAAATATATGCAATTATGTAAATGTAACATTCAATCCTCAAGTATAATCCAGGTTGTATGAACTTTGTATAGTGAGTTTTAATATCGTATGGCCGTACCAATATGTATTGATCTTAATCAGAAGCCTTAGAGTTGTCGACCCAAAGTGCTCCATTAGAATATCCTACACCTACCTGACTTTAACAAAGCATTACTATCTCTATTTTGTTGCGTTTTTATTTGTATCCTTTTTGAATAAAATAGATTTGTACTGTATATTTGTACCTCTCTGTGAACTACTTAGAGCGTTTTGGTTTTTTTTTGTTTGTTTTGATTTGTTTTGCTGTTTTAATTCTATGTACTTTAAGGACACAAAGATATTGTATTTTTATTGTTACAGCTAACTTGGAGACATTGCATTTATCATGTTTGTTAAGTAAACACAATATAATATATATATATAAATATATATACAAATATAAATATAAACAATTATCCAACTTGTGTGCTGTGATTCTTAGTCCTGTTGTGCATTTATTATTTTAGAGAAACTGGTGGCTTCAGCTTCTTTATTGTAGGTTCTATACACCTACAATAGTATATAAAAGATCTTCTCAGAGGATTATATGTAATATATAGTTCTTTTGGTGAAAAAATGCTTTTAATTATAGTTGTGGTCAGAGGTTTACATGCATTCATCCCATCATGGCCATGAATGTTATGGTAAGTCGTGGCTTTTAAAAAAAAAAAACTGTTCTTTTTTCAGAGCATACAGCTTTCATGAGCAGCTTTAAGAAGTGGGTGCACACTGGTTCTACACAAGCTACACCCACTTTAGAGGGAGGTTGCTGTGAATAACCCATTTTACAAGTTGATTGTCACATCTTGACCTGTAATGTATAGCTGGTAAATATAGTAGTATACAATAAGAGCTGCTTAACAAAAGTGCTCATGTCACATTGTTACACAGTATTAGCTTAGTTTTATATGTGTTATAAGCCAAATTGTATAAAATGTATCAATTTACTTTCAGTAAATGGAAACATTCAGAAGATACACGTCTGTACACAGCTGTCCAAAGTAAAATGCACACAGGTAACTCTTAATATGTAATCTAGTTATTTGGGATTTGAGCGCATTTGGTATCTTCAGTAATTGCACTGGTTACCTCACATAGTATATCACAATAGGTCCTGAAATTTGTTTCTCATTTTATTATGTCTGTTATTTTGCAGGACATTTCTTGTTTGTGTTTCATCATTTCCTGATAGTCTTGGGGAGTATATCATAGCTGGCTATTTTGATGTCAGTGTCAACTACTACCCTGTCCACCATAATGTTTATGAATTTCAGTCTAAGCGTGCATGGTGCCCACTAAAGTCCTGAGTTGTTATGATGATACATGCGTAGACCTACATTTTTTAAGTTTGGCACTCAGTGATGATCTCACTCTGTGCTTAAAGTTTACGCTATTAACCTTTACAACTATTAGCACTTATAGATAATTTAGAATTGCCAATTAACCCAGTGTATCTAAAAATAGGGGTCAGGTTCTCCTGGGAGGACAAAGCCACTTCAGCTAAAACAATGAATGACCAGGGTGGTAATGCTGCGAGTTTAAGTTGAACTAATGATTCATGTAGAAACACAATTTGCAGGTGAGATTGTGCTTTTACTTTAGTTTGATTCTTGAAAACTAAATGCTTCCCCTTGTTAATGAAGACAATGGGCCGCAGGGACTCAAGGTTTGGAAACAACAGAACTGATCTTATGCAGTGCTTTGTAGGAAAAAAAAAAACAATGCAAAAAATGTAAACAATGCTGCAAACCAACTTTATAATAAATTCAATGTTTATTTCCACATTCTTATCCAGGTTTCGTCACGGTCTGTACATCTGTTATTCCAGTAACAGAGGATGGCGTCCCCCAAAGTGCCATCCAGTCAGAATGCATTGATATCACAACTAGCATGTTGTCATTAGCAGTTTAGCTCATTCATTTGGCCTTGATCAGAAAGACTTCTTTTGTAAACATGGACATTGAGAGAAAATCCTGATAGAATATAGAAAGGCCAACATCTTGAAACATTTTTCGTTTAAACTGTAAAAAACAGGCAGGCATAAACAAACAGAACACAAGCTCATGTTGAACCATTCTAGGACGAGTGCAGTTTCAGGACATGCAGTGTTTTTACCTAATCCACACTGAGAGAGCGCTGCTGCCAAAGGACAGCGCCGCGTCAGAGTCCACAGAACTTCCTTTCAACTAGTAAGTGAAGTTGTAGGACAAACAGGGTCACAGCAATTTCAAAGAGCAACCTCTGAGAATACCCAGTATTCATATTCTGAGAGAAAGAGACGACACCTGAAGCCTTTGTTGAGAACACTGATCTGCCCTTGGTAGAGTGTATAGTGAGAAGGATGGCAGTGAAACCCTGTTTCTTTTTGTGCTGAACTAGGAAGAGGAAACATCTCTCAAAAAAAGACAAAAGTGTCTCTACTAAAAGTCCCAAAACTGCCTAAAACTGTTCTGTTTGCATGACAGGTCTACAAATGATTCTTATGGGCTGGGGTGCCGTATCCAGGCCCTGAGCCCTCTGAGTTAAACTGCCTGAGTAGCTGAACTGTTTGCTTTGAAGTCTGTTTAAAATTGAGGTCGCATTCTGCATAGTTTCAGTGAAAAGTGAATTAATTTCCTTTAATAAATAACATCTGTTGCATAGAGGTTTGATGCACTCCTAGAAAAAAGCCTCTGAGGATAAAACCAAAACTCCCTTTAATTTTTTTGTCTTTTGTTTTTTCTTCATTAAACCTGCTGGAACTAACAGCCAGGTGGGTTGCGACTCGTCTAGGAGTGACTCAAACAGAACCGCTGCTCGTTCTTCTTTAAAGAGTACTTCTGAAACTGCTCATTTGACACTGTTAAATGTTTGCATCTGGATAAGCAAAGACAAGAAGAAGTGGAGGTAACAGCCAGGAAATTAAACGAGGGTTATCCAACCATGGCCTCTAATTTTAACATTTTGTAAATCAACAAAACACCCCAAAACACTTTTACAAGAAAAAAACAAACAAACATATATATATATATATATATATTCACATCATATTGCATAAATATGTGCTGGAATGAGGTTAATGAATCTCCTGGTATGGGCTGTATGTGCCGTGAAGTTAGCCCCAGTGCTCAGTAACAGATGAAGGAAACAAACAAAAAAAGTGTTTAGAACAATGTCCACTTGTCATGTGACTCCATAAAAGTGACTTGCAGATATAAAACATAATTTAAGTGGTACTGTTTACACATCTTGAAGGTACTGCAGCCTTACAACACATGTGGATGCTACACAAATTGCACAAAGCAGAGGTTGCATTATCTA